AATGGGATTGAGACTTTACTTGGCACATTGCTTAAAATATTTTGGGAGATTCTTTTCTAAGTTACCTCATAATCATCTTAAATGGAGCAAATCATTTTTCCCTCACTGGATAAATTTTATTTTTAAAATAGCAAGAGTTGTTCTGATCTAAATCTGCTCAATTACACTTATAATCATGAGATTTTAAAATTAGCCTTTAAAGCCATGATTTATAAGATACTCATTTTATTATAATGCTTACCAGCTAAGGTCAAGGTCATTCTTAACTTTGATTAATGTTGGTAATAACAGAATAAATATAGTATCCAAACGCTGTTAGTAACGTTTTTATTTTACATAACTAATAATCTGAATTACTAAGTATGGCAAGGCCTGGTTTATAAGTTCTACTTTGCAATATGTAAAAATCGTGGGGCTAATATAGTAATTAGTTTACTTGCTAATATTTTCTAAATTCGGGTATTAGCTATATAATTATAACTGAACTCCATGACTCTTGTTATTTCTTTTTAATGTATTTATGTATGTATAAGTGTGTGCATTCATGTCTGCGCATGTGGATGTACTGTTTAAATATACACAGTTGTGCATACATATGTGTGTGCATTTCTGTCTGTACATGTGATGTGTTGTTCATATTTATGCAGGTGTTCATGTATATGTGTGAATTCGTGTACATGCATGTGGATGTATTATTCATCTTTTTTGCAGTTGTGCATACATTTGAGTGTGCAGTCATGTCTGTGCATGTATGCATTGTTTAGATTTGCATAGGTATGGGTACACATGTGTGCATGTGGGTAGAAAGGCTGGAGGATAAATTCCTCCAGTGTCATCCTCAGAAAAACTACCTCCTTTGGCACAAGGTCTTTCATTGGCCTGTAGCTTCCTAATTAAGATACACTAGACATTTAATGAACTCCAGCAATTCTTCTGTCTCTATTCCCTAGGGATTCCAAGCACATACCACCATACTGGACATTTCTATATGGTCTTTGGGGATCATACTTAACTGTTCATCCTTGCAAGGCAAGGATTTTATTGACAGAACCAGCCCCTGCTTCATCTACCAAAGGTCCTAATACAGAGCAGTTACTCAATAAATGTAGAATAAATATGGTAATTCCTGATAAAATTGAACAACTTGATAGAATTCACATAGTACTAAGCAGTATTATGCATGACTATAACCAAAATTTCATACTAATCTGATAAACATAATTGACACAATTTCATAAGGAAATCTTATTTTTCTCACCAAAAAGTAAAAAAAAAATAGTTATAGCATGTCCTTTATGTAAGTAAACTATGGTATCAAACAAAAATAGATACCCTAGGCAGAGAATTCAGTCTCTATGTGGTTGTAAACATACTCCCTCCCACCAGGAACTTGCATTCTATATTGCAGAGTATTGTATGGAGTTGTTATTTTTCATAAGCTATACTTAAATCGTAGGTTGCAGCTAGTGTGTTCATAAAACTACTTATTCATTTAAAATTTCCTGATATTATAGATTTATAAAGGACATATTTACCATTTACATAAAGAAACATGTTGAATAATATGAATATAATAAACATATTGTATTACTATATATAGAATATATTATAGATCATGCCATGTATAAAATATATGTGGCTTATAAATGACATATGGAGCCTCCTATATATGTGATTTATGCCATATAGGTATAGCTCAAAGTAGGAAATTGTATAAAAATAGTTAAAATCACTTGATCAGCTAGAATGCAAGTATACATGGGAAGAATATGTCACAGAAAAAAATCTTAATTTCTTAAAAATATGTTATCCAGAAACCATATTTTGCTCCAAAAAGAAATATTGCACCTTGAAGAACACAAATAAAAACACAATTTAACTATCCAACAATTTAAGGCTCAAAAATCTTTACTGGAGGGAAAAGATTTCCAGACATAGGTTTTCAAAAAGACTCTGTAACTTCAATAGCAAAGTTAAAGAGCACAGAGAAGTGACAAATGGGATTACAGAAAGTTAAGACTGTCCTTTGCAGCAGTGAAAGAAGCAATAACATTATTGAAAAGGCTACAGAATAGAAGAGACTTTGTACCTACCTGTTACACTTCCGACAGATGATTAAAATCTAGAATATATAAAGAACTGTGAAAATATTAATCTTTCAGTCAATAAATGAACTAAGGTACTAAACAGACCCTTCTTAAAAGAAATATTAATGTCCAATCAATATTTTTTGGTCTTTAAAATCATTATTTATAAAGAAAATGCAAATTAAAACTACTTCTTATTACATCTGACCCAGCTAGAATGGCAGTCATCAAAAGAACAAATAACAAATGTGGGTAAGGATGTAGGAACAGAGGATACCTTACTCACTGCTGGAGGGAATGAGAGCTTGTGTGGCCATTATGCACATCAGTATGGAAGTCCTACCGTGGGAGTGCTTACATATCCATTTATTGCTACACCACTTAAAGTAGTTAAGCAATGGAGCCAAGCTAGAGTCACCCATGAACAGATGAGTAACAAAAGAAAATATTGCATGTGTACACAGTATAATTGTATTTAGCCATGAAAAGCATGAAATCATGATATTGTTATGGAAATAGATGGAACGGAAATTACAAAGTAATGTAATTTTCCAGCCTGGACTGGGAAAGGCAGCTGTTGTATGCTTTCTCTCATTACAGATCCTAGACATTAATTTTTTGTATATTTTTAAAGTGGTGGATGTTGGGTATGAAAGTATAAAGTGGACCATGAAAAGAGTGAAGGAAGCCTCAAGGGAACAGTAACTTGAAAGTGCAGTGGAGCCTGTCGCAGGATCAGGCTGAGAAGCAAGAGCATCGGGAAAGGTCAAGAACAACAGAGTATGTATAAAATGTCTTAAGGCAACTCCTTACTTTTTATTTTAATTTTTTAAAAAGTTAATAGAAAAATCTCTCATCAGAGATTCATATCTAATACCGGGTTTTATTGGTATATGACCAAAACTGACTTCATTTCACACCAGAGTGCCTTTCATACTGCCTCCATCCTAAGGGTCAATAAAGGCCTCATCTCTAATTATCGAAGTTGACTCCTTCCATGTTGACAAGCAAAGGCTCAAGGAAGCATCTATTCTATAAGTTCTACTGAACTTTTTAAATAAGAAGAAATGTATCAAGGGAAACAAAATTCCAGCATAGACTGAGGAGGAATTAGGTGGGACAAATGAGTTATGGATCCGACAGTAACACAATACACGCATGAATGAAATTTTCAAAAACTAATTAGAAGTAAGGAAAAAAATGAAAGTTAATGCTGTTGGATTGTATATTTTTGGGAGAGATGTTAGCACTAATGCAATGAAATTTGCTCTAAGAGTTTCTGTTCATTCGAAGCAAAATGTCTGACTCACAGAAATAATAAATGTGAACATGAGAAGAAATTTGGCAATGACTATAACTCATGACCATACTAAGACTGAGAGGACATTTTTTTCAAAACAAAATCTTTCATTCTTCAAATCCTGAAGCAGTAGAGTGTGATCAAAGGTATATTCTGTATACTATCTACCCCTAAGGAGGTATCATCCGGGGCGATAAGCAAGGCTTTGAGGTCAGGGACACCAAGATGAGTAAGAGATTCACCACTGAAGGAGATCTTTCTAGCAAGACTACAAATCCCACAGGGAGAAATAAGATCAACAGAAATCAGGAGAAAGGAATCACTCTAATCTGTCCTCAGAGTCTTTGGTGAAAAGGAGCTCAGGCATCGAAGCTCTCAACCTGAAAAAAAAAAAAAATTGGATAACAACCCAATTTCAAATCACTTAAACTGCTGTCTATCTATAGAACCCCAAAGCTGAATTGGGTAGAACTATCTGATGTGTGTGTCATCTCCAATTTTCTGTGGTACGCATTGAGTGTTTGAAAAATAATACCAGACAGACTGGGCACCAAACTGTAATTTAGAAAGAGTCCTAAATAGGATAGCAGCAATCCTAAAGAGGGAGAGAAAATGTTCACAGTTACAGATTGAAGGTCTGCCAAACCACCCCAGACATCTTGTTATTGTGCTTCAAGCATTATTAGAAGTTACAATGGTTTTGAGATTTATCAACTTCTAGCTCCTGGCAACCCATCCCATCATGAAGTTCATTTATTTTTAATAATCTCTATTATCTAATTCAGATTTCAACTATATATTTATTCCTGATAAGAATCTAAGGAGAACACTTTCACTAGCAATATTTTCAGGTCTGGAAAGCAATCATTTCTGCATTCCCTTTGTCTTAAAAAATGTGGATAATGACCTGAAGCCTAAAGATATATCCAGGCTTCTACTAGGTTTCAATTGTGGAAATTCTCCCTCATCTCACTGGGTATTACAAAAATCCCTTAGCAGTGTTCACATCTGCTTGCTCTAGTGCTTAACTATTTTTGTTGACATCTGAAATATTTCATTATGACTTAAAGTCACCGCCAAGGATGACTTTTCCATTTACATATATCCCACGGAATCAAAATGTCATATTGATTTAACCTCATCATTTTTCAGATGATATTTTGCAGACGGTATAAAATTTGATAGCTATTTACATTTTAACATCTTATTCTTCTAGACACCAGTATGACTAGAGAGACATGTTAACAAAATATATAGGCTGCAGTACAGTTTTTAAAAAAAATTTGAAATTTATTTCAGTTTTGTGTCGAAACTCCGTGTTCTTCTGACATAATAAAATTTTTGTGTGTGCTGTGAACTTTATTGATGGTGTTTAAGAGAGTAGGGTTCCTAAGCCTCTCAGTCTCCCCTGTTATTCTGAGGGTCTGGCATGGAAACTGTAATGGAAATGCTCAGATTCGGGGACCGAATTAAAGCAGGGACTGCTCAACAGCCAAGAGCCCTTCTCTTGCTCTTGTGTCCATGTTGGGTGGGCTCCAGGGCTTCTTACTGCTTGGAAACCATGTAGATCATGAGGTCCACCACCCTGTGCTGTAGCCATATTCATTGTCATACTAGGAAATGAGTTTTACAGTGTTGTCATTGAGAGCAATGCTGTCCCCAGCATCAAAAGTGTAAGAGTGGGAGTCACTATAAAAGTCATAGGAGACAACCTGGTCCTCAGTGTAGCACCGGGTGTCCTTCAGTGGGCTCTCTGATGACTGTTTTATCACCTTCTTTATGTTTCCTTACTTGGCAGCTTTCTCCAGGCAGCATGTGAGATCCTTGATGGACACAATGGGGATAAAAACAGAGAAGGCAATGCTGATGAGCTTCTTTTTCAGCTCTGTAATGACTGTCCACAGCCTTGGCAGTATCAGTGGATACAGGCATGATGTTCTGGGCAGCCCTACAACCATCACAACACAGCTCCAATGAGGAGCCATCCATAGTCTTCTGGCAGACAGTGATGGTATGGACCGTGGTCATCAGTCCTTTCACAATGTCAACATTGTCACGGATGACCTTGACTGGACTAAGCAGTTGGTGGTACAGGAAGTGTTACTGACAATCTTAACTGGGTTGTCATACTTTTTGTGGCTCACTCCCATCACAAGCATGGGGTAGAGATTATGACCCCCTTGACCGCACCCTTCAAGTAGGGCCCAGCCTTCTCCATAGCAGTGAAGACAGTAGACTCAACAACAAATTCGGCACCAGCATCATGCCATATGATGTTGGCAGAGTTTTGCTTCTGGAAGATGCCGATGGCCTTGTTGTTGATAAAAAGATTCTCATTCTCAGTCTTGACTGTGCTGTTAAACTTGTCATGGGTAGAGTCATATTGGAGCATGTAGACCATGTAGTTAAAATGAATGAAGGGGTCATTGATGGCAATGACTTCCACTTTTCTGGACCAGGCAACAGTCCTGGTATTTGACCCAATATGGCCAAATACATTCACTCTGACTTTCACCATCATGTCTTGGGGATGAGGCTGTCACTGCACAAGGAGACACAGTTGAGCTGTCTGTGGGACAGGGATAAGCAGAAAACTGAGATAATAATTCTTTTAATTAACTGTCAATGGATCAATATTTTTGTCAAACACAAAATATCATCAGATTTGGTGCAAGGGCCTCTATCTGCTGCATAATCTTGTCACCCCTCTAGATTTTTTTTAACTTGCAGAAATCTTATTCAAAATGCACCTGTAATGTTCATTAAGTTTCTGTACAATCTACTTAATAATTTTCTCTTTGTTTGAGATAGGGTCTCATTTGCTACATAGCCCTGGAAGGCCTAAAAATCACAGAGATCTACCATGTCTTGTCATTATTAATTTGTCAATCAGAAACAGCCAATTTTACTAAATACAGTTTTAAAATAAAATCTTACAACATAAAACAAAATTATTTATTTTTTAAATAACATTAGAAAAATTAAAATTTTAGAATAAAGTATATTTGGCCCCAGCCTTTAAGCATGTTTTAACTGTTTTTTTTTAAGTTATATAGGTACTAATATAGTTGATCCCATTTAAATAATATGAATGGAATTTCAAAAGTCAATGTTGCATCAAGACAGTAGCCCCAAATTAGATTATCTGCAAAGTTTGAGTCAGAATTTTCAGAGGAGTTGGAGGGCCTCATAATCAATCTTCTATATGATAGAATAAGATTCTCCTCTCTCAGATGGGTCTCTCATGGGCTAATGTTTGCTCATAGAAGATGGGATAATAAGTGGAACTGGTCTTTTGTTCTCTATTACCTAGAATAATTGAGAAATTAGACTTTCAAAGCTGGTGGCAGTGTCAAGTGGAACATTGGAGATTGATACCCATTGCCATGACCTGTGTACATCCCTAGACAGACAAATTTCAGGCCACTAGATTTGGACAGTTATTCCTTCAGTTAAACTGTACAGTTACCAATTTCCCCAATTAGAATGACACTCCTTGCTGGTACATTCTGGTCCTAATTCCCACTCTGTGATCTCACAACTGCAGGCAGCAGTCCTCCATTCTAGATTCCAACATCACAAGCAGAACTTTCCAACCACACTCATGGTAAAAAAAAATAAAAATAAAAAAAAAATCTTTTCTTACTTATGTGTATCAATGTTTTGCTTGCATGCATGTGAGAACAAGGCATCACATCCTCTGAAACTGGAGTTGCAGACAGTTGCAAGCTGCTAGAAAAGTGGTAGGAATTACACACTGGTGTTCAGGAAGAGCAGCCAGTGCTCTCGATCCAAGAATCATCTCTCCGATCCAAATTCAAGAAGACTCTAAATAATTCCCACTCTACTCCCTCTGTTACCCCTCTAGTGACTCATTCTACCATTGTCTCACATTGCCTAAATGACACTGGCATCCCACTGGCCTCAAAACTTAACTGAAGAATTGATAACTTTGGAAGGCAAGGCCTCTGCAAAAATGCTCTTTCACTGTTCTTCTCTGACCTAGTCTCTCTTTTCCTTAAATTTTTATTCATATAGCTTTAGTAAAAACTTTCTTTGGTTACTTTATTGCATATCATACTTTGTTTTGCTCCAAAGTACTTGTATTAATGAACTGTATATATTTTGGTATCTATAATTTCAGCCTCCACACATGTGATACAGTTGTGTGGCTTCTACAAGAAGGTCACATGTTATTTGTATGTTCATTCAGTGCCTAGATTAGCAATCTACATTTTATATTCAAATATTTTCACTAAAATATATTGACTTTGCTTTGACTCTAAAAGTTTTTCCTTAGATTCATATGATTTGATTTACAGAAACATGAACCTTAACTTATTCATTATTTCCTTTTTTTATATATTTGCTGTTCTTAAAATAAAACAACCTTTATACATCAAAATGTCTGAAAAGAATGTATCTAGAGTATTAATCAATACCAAAACACACTTGACAGCACATTGGAATTGGGTACCCTGAACTGTAGCCAATCATGGATGTTATCAATTTTCTCCCTAAAAGCATTTAAGACAAGTTTGCCAGCTGTTATGGACAGACTATAACTTTTCCTCTTGTCTTCTCACTCATTTAAAAATCTCATCGGATTTCCTTTTATTAACAGGTTAACAAATCTATTTCAGTCCAGTGGAGTACTATCGACTAACTTTGAAATATTAGCCACTTACTACGTGTCACATTGTAGCAGTCTTCCAGATATCAGAGTCAAAACTGATATCAATTTTGAGATGTGTTTTATATAATGTGCTTGCCATTGACCATAACTTGGAAAAATCATGTCCCATAACTGTGCCTGTTCAGTTTATGACATGTATAGCACAGTAAATGTTAATTGCTTTGAAGTATATTAAAGTGGGGAAACTGGCATACTTTATGTTTAAATGCTTAAACTGAGAGAATATGAACACTGTAGAACATCCATGAAATAATTATTGGACTCAAATAGGAAGTTCAGATGAAAATCATGAAGAAAATTTACTTTAAAAGGACAAAAATACCAAAAACCTAGAGAATATCCTATTAGAAAATCTTATTAGCAATGATCTGGGGATGGAGGAGTACCTAAGTGGTAAGTTTTTAGTAAAAGTGAGGCATTAAGTTCATTCCTAACATCAAACCAAAAACTAATAATTATTAAAGTCAACATCTTTGGCAAAGTGTAAGATATTATTAACTTTTCTATGTTAATCACTGCATTTGTTCTCCAAAGTTGGTAACCGGAGAGGCATAAAGGGAAAAATAAATCCTAAGCAAAGTCAAGGTAAAAGAATTGAACAGTCATTCTTTCTTCTTCAGAGACTGTTTAAGACATAAAGCATGTAGCAATTATAGATTGCAAAGAAAGGCCATCTCAATAAGTAAGTATAAATTAAATATAAATAAACATTGTGTAACCAAACAAAGGAGCATTTCTGGTTCAAAAAAAGTTCTAAAAACAGTCTTTCTCAGGTTGGAATCAAAGGTATTTTCCCACAAGGTCTCATCCTTAATCACTAAAAAACTCATGACTGATATAGGAATGGATCTTTATTCAAAATTAAAAGTCTAGAGAGTTGTTATAAAATGATTACATAATCTTGGATTTATTTTGTACTGTAACTAGATTTAAATCATGAAAATAACAAAATTTTAAGATTTTTATTCCTCAAAAAATAAGATACAAGAAATAACATTATTTTTAAATGTTACTAAATTGTAAAAGCAGTTGTCAAAAGCCTATAATGTTAATGAAAAAGCACTCTCTTTGCAATCAGAAGAAATTAAAGAACCTTTTGAATGATACTTCTTGTTTGTTATTTTGATATCTTTGAAGTCAGTTTTCTTTAAGACAGTTTCACAGAAAACCACATGAGATCAATCTGTCCTTAGATATTTATTTTAGAAGCATTTTGATCCAGAATGGAATAACATTTAGCATTGTTCCACTATAAAATAAAATTTAATACAAATTTTATATGAAAAGAAAGATTACACTTGACTCAGAAAATATTTCTTAAGAAAATTGAAATATATATTTGAAGACATATTTAATGTTCTTAAGACAAATTATCTCAACTATTTTGTCTAATTACAATAATCGAGAAAGAATAACTAATTTATGCTTATGGATCAAGACTTAAATAGTACTTATAAAATATTAAATAATTTGCATTTTAAACATGACTATATTTTCTAAGTATGAAGTTTAAACTAAAGATTAATCATATACAATTATAATAATTTTGCAGGACCAATATTATCATTTCAATTTTGCATAATAAAATTATTAAGAATAAGTATGACTTTGAAATATTTAATGAAATTTATGTTATGCAAGGATCAGAGGCTCCATGATGAAAATTCAACAGAAGAAATACTGAAGACAGCATAGAACATCACTACCTTAGTTTCCAAAACAGTTAAACATGCACAAGGACACTGCAGACAAGGAACAAAGAATGGCAGGAAAAAGTGAAAATGCTCCCATTTTGCTACTGCAAATCCTACTGAACCTACCTGACTCTTATTACTACTTGTCTGTAATATCTACTATGCACACAGAAACTCAGCGTTCAATTGTCGTTTCATCTGCAGAGCAGCAAATATTCAATTCTTTGTAAACTTCTTAATGATGAATTGAATGCTACATAAATTATCTGTAGTGTGTAGTGTATCAGTGATGTGGAAATGGCTGTAATTGAAAGTGTCCACCTTCTCTCAGAATTCAATTCTCTGAGATGAAACTGGAAACTATCTTAATCAATGCTTCACCTCCTTTTTCTCCAAGGACCTCTTTAAGAAGCCACAGTGTAAGTGTCATTCAGTGCTACGATATGACCCATCTCTACAGCATTGCCACAGTTCACATCCAGTATAACTGCTGATTTGTAGACACATAAACACAGATTTGCACAGCAGATGTCCTGAGTCAAACATTTTCACTTAGCATTGAAAGACTTTGTAGAGATGCTTTTGTCGTGAACAATTTTAAAGATGCTGAATAAAGCATACACATTTATCAAATTTAAATTTTATATCCAGAGTCTGTAAGTATTTGTCAAGCAATGCAAGTAACTTATAGAAAGAGTCTATATTTAAAATAATATATTTTGAGAGATGGTGGAGCAATTAAGAACAATTACTATTCTTGCATAGGATCAGAAATGGTGACTTAAAAGTACCTGTAACTCCAGTTCCAGGAGATATGATGACAGCCTCTTCTCAATACTTTTGGTACCTGGCATGCACAATATGTGTGTATGTATACATATACATATGTACAAACACACATATGCATATGTATGCAGGCACTCACACATATGCATAAAAACCTTAGAATATTTTTAAAAGGTGATAGAGGAATAGAAGAGGCAGAAAAGGAAAAGAAGGGTGAAGTGAATCTTCTTTGCTCTGCATTTTCTAGGAAACTCCTTTCTGTGAAGGCTGTCAATCAACTTTGTAGATAGAGAGATAAGAATCAACCAACAGCATGACTGACTTGTCAACTAAGTACATCCG